TGATGGCTGTGCCTGGCAGTCCCCTCCAACCCGTGCGTCAGTGTCCTGGGGACGCCGGTTTCCCCGACTGAGGGCCCATAGGGAGCGGAGACACAGAGGCCTTGCAGCCACCAGGCCACCACGAGAGCACGTGTTCACTAAACAAAGGCTCACAACCTTTCAAACAGAACCTCGGCTGGAAGGGTCCTAGTGACCTCAAGACAGAACCGGACCCCATCTATCCAGCCCCTAAGTCCAGGCTCCCTGGGAGGGTTAAAAAGCCACGGCACGTGCAGAGATGGGTGAACTGGGAGCCCCCTGTGGTCCAGGCACTGACCTCACAAGAGGAAAGACCCACGACCCCCCACTTCGGGAGTCTCCTTCCAGTGGGATGGGGGAGGGGTGGGGAACAGCACACCAGCAGCCAGTCAAACGGAACCAGCTGCCAAGACACTGAGGACGGCACCGCGATGACTCGTCCCCGACTCAGGGACATCACCAGCCACTCTCTTCCCTGCTACTCCAGCCCCATGCAGCCCTGGGAGGCAGCAGCCTGTGAGCCCAGCCTACAAGGAGTGAGCAGTGGACAGGGGTCCGACTGCACAGCCAGCCCCACAGGCCTCAGGGAAGCGGACAGTGCGGTGACCAGGCCGCCCCGGATGACGGAGCGTCCCACTCGGGGATACTCCAGCCTTCCTGGCGCAGGCTCAGGGCCCCCGCGCTGTGGGAAGGGACTGCACAGGGCCCCGCCATCCCCAGACGGGCATTTCCGGGAGGACGCAGCCGGGGCCCAAGCAGGGACAGAGGCCGCTCCGGGCTCCGGGCAGTACTTTTCCACGGGCCCCGTCCACCCACCCTCAGAAGACGGAGGTGTCCTCCCTCCATAAATGCCTGACACCGCCGCGTCAGAGCTTCCCACGAGAACCAGACAGTGAGTGAGGGAAGAAATATTTTGATTAGCAGAGACCAGGATGTGGGTCTTGAGGAGGAAAAGCCTCCGCTTCCCCGGGAGACTGGTCCCGGCAACGCAAGCAGGATATCAGGACACCAGCCCCCAACTCAGTCAGGAAGCCTTCCAAGCACCTGGACTCGGCCTGGAACTGGGGGCTCCAGGCCACGGCGGAGGGGCCGCCACCCTGCAGGCCAGGCCCTGGGCACCCTGCGGCCCGAGAGCTAAGCTGGGGTGCGTGCAACTCACCAGGAACCTGGGCCACCAGTTACAAACCCAACAAAAATCCAAGCATCAACGAGACAGGGAGGAAACAGACCCCAGTTCTTCATTCTTTCCTCTTTCGTCTTCTGAACTTCTTTTAATCAACATGCACTTTAATAACAAAATACGATCACGTACTTTTTAAAAAAATGATCAGAATGTAACAAAGAACATCATCATGGATCTCAGGCGGAAATCACGAGCTGTGCCAACATTTATCATAAACCACGCTCTCGAGGGTCCTGCCAGTGGGCGACAGGCAGCGAGCAGCGAGCACTAAGGAAGCAAGCTGATGTTTCATCACAAAAGTACAAGCCACCAATGTGACAGTGAGACACACAGTTTAAAGAGGGTGGAGGAGTCCAGAGAAGGCAGGGAAGCGCCCTGAGAACGGCCAGAGAGTCACGTGTGGCTGAGGCTCCATGTGGTGCAGGCTGGGGCTGGGCCGCACACCGAGTGGGAGCTCAGAGAACTCTGAAAAACCATTTCTTCCTGGGTCTGTAAACCAAAGAGAACCGGTAAGACCAGGGTCCACGATGGAGAACGCGGGCAAGAATGGGCCTGGGGACACAGGACCAGCTGAGCGCCTGTGTGGGAGCAGGACGTGGGGCCATGGAGGCGGGCCTGCTGGCCTGGGTCCCGAGCATGCGGCCTTTGCCGGGGAACCAGCGCCCATGCCCAGACAGGCCGCCAGACCTGTGAGTTCTCGCCAGAGGATGCAAGGAAGGGGTAGAGGACACCCCAGGGCAGGTGGGGTCCCGGACACCGCTGTCTGCCCACGTCCTGCACCTGCTCCCGCCACCACAGCACTGTCCCTGGAGAGGAGCTGCCATCTGGACGGCGTCCCGGGGGACCTGGCGTCCGCAACACAGGTGGTCCCGGAGAGGCACTCTGGGCCCGGGCGGGCCTGCAGCCCAGGAGCCACCGGCTGTCAGCCCCGTTCCCCGCACCATGGCCCGTCCCCTTCTGGGGACGGCGTGTGCTCCCCGGGCCTAAGCAGCACACGCGGCCCTGGGCTCGGGACAAAGGCAGGGTCTGAAACGCCGGCGCGCACAGTGAACAAGCCCCACAAGCCAACAACGAAGCACCGAGTCAGAAGTTTCCAACTTTCTTCCACAAAGACCTGAAGGAGGCCCCAACCAGGTCCCTGATTAACTGTAGACCTTCAGAGAACTCTGATATCGGCCCTGGGACGCATGACCAACCTCGCAAGCTGGCTCCAATCACATGCCCCTCCCTCCTCGCCAGCGACTGACGAGAGCTCAGTCATCAGCGCCATGCTGGACGTGAGGCAGGGACGAGGGTCCTCGAGGGGCTGTACACTCACCCACGACGCCCACCCCCGCCCCGTGAGGCCCGCCTACCAAATCTGACTGTGTGTTGAATCTGCCAGAATCTGCACTCTGCATCCACGAGAGCATACGTGGTTCTGACCCACTGCAGACTAGGAATTACATAGACAGCCTGCCGTGCAAGAGGAACTGGCACTCAGACCTCGGGACAGAAACAAATGCACCTGCACACACACCCCTGGCAAATCTGTTTCGCTAGAAATGGGAGCTCGTCCAGACACGACTCCGTGAGCGGACTCCCAGGCCGGGCCCCCCGTCACTGTGAGCCGGGCACCTCCACGCGCCGCTCCACCCGGCTCCTCGGTGCAGCCGGGCGACGCAGCCCCAGCCACCACCCGCGCCTCCACCCGCCCCATCAGCCCATCAGGACCCCCTCTGAACACGGCACCAACGGCAGCCTGCAGACTTGACGGCTGGAGAAGGTGCTCCGACCAAGGCTTTACTGGAAGTCCTCCTTGCCCTACCTTCACAAGGCGCGCCCACGGGTAACAGTGCAACCCCCGACACTCAGCGCGACCACCACCTCCCCCTCCCGGCGCGGAAACAAGGCGCGTCCCTACCTGGGCGGGTGCTTCCCCTGCGCCCGGCGGAGCTGCCGGTGCCCCCGGCACGTCTTCTGCGGCCGCCTTCAGTTTTTTTTTCTTTCTCGCTGTCACTTCAGTAACTTTTCTCTTCTGTTTTGCCATCCTGCAACAGAGAAAGTAAGCTGTAAGCACTCAGGGAATAAGAGGTCTCAGGCCACACAACAGTTTTAACTAAGGGGGGGCATTCCTGTTACAAAAGAAACACAAACGCGGGAACTACACAACCATTTTAAAGAGTCAAATTCCCTAGTTTCATCACGCATGGACAATCAACTTGACGTTTCGGTTTATCTCCTGTCTTTTTTGAGTGTTTTATTCAAACGTAGCTGCAGTCACACGTGGATCATGCATATTATGTTTTTAACTAAACCTGAACACACACTTTAAAGACTCAGAAACACCATTTTCAGTGACAGCATTGAGATTTTCCAAGAGTGAAAATTAGCTTGTCTTCTCCCTAATTACTAAGTATTGTGGGTTGTTTTTACTACCGCGGACTGACTCCTACCCCACCATTAAGTAGGGAAGCTGCAGCTCCGCTCGGCTGACGGGGACGGGACAGGTCTGGGGCGGCCTCCGTGGATGGTGGCGGCAGCACCGACAGGGCCCAGGGGGCCGAAGGCACTCGGGCTGGAGAGGCACCAGGTCCTCCTCCCTCCTCTGCAGCATCTCCAACTCCGCAGGCGTCAATTCCAAACCCAGCCTCCTCTGTGGGAGTGGATGATGGGGGAGCCAGGAGGAGGGGTGGAGGCACAGGGAGCTGGGGGCAGGATTGGGGCAGAGAGCCGTACACCTGAGGGGCACCCAAGGGGCACCCGAGGGGGAGACGTGGGAACCCACTGGGTTGCAGCCAGGCTCCTGCTGCCAGGCGGGCTGACGGAAGAGGCCTCCTCCCGCCCCCTCCACCTGCTTCCCGGTCCCTGCTGCCCCCTGCAGATGGAGCCCAGAAAGAGCATGGTGAAGTGCGGTGTTCGGGGGTGTGAACAAAATCTTTATATCTAGGTGTGGGACTCCAAGGGGCTTTCTGTTCTCCCTCAAGCTCAGTTTTATTTTGCTTTTATCAAAGTTTTATACTTGAAAAAATTCTTCATTTTTTACTACCAGTCCTTTAAAACTCTAACTAGTATCAGAATTTATTCCAACAAATTAGAATGTATTTTTATTTGTATCCTAAGCTCACCTCATTTATGTGAGATTCATTTATGTGTGTGTATGTGTGTGTACACACATTCACATCACACAGACAAGCATGTAACACGTACATCACACACACTCACACACACACGCGCGCGTGTGCAGAGCTACGCAACATGGGCATTTTAATTTTGGACACGCTGCTCAGGCTGCGCCCGCGGGGATGGAAACCAACCCGAAGGCTTCTCCCTCGACACCAGCATTCATCTGGCCTCTACCCACAGATGCTCAGAACCTAACTCACTCACTCAGCAAACACCTGTTAAGAGCCAGTTCTGTGCCAGGCCCGGCTGGTGCTGGTCACAGAGCAAACGGCAAGGCAGACAAGAGCCTTGATCTCAGAAGATCTGGAGAAACTAGACCCTCACATAAGAGACCCTCAGCCACAAAAGCAATGAAGTGCCGACTCCTGCTACAACCTGGATGGGCCCTGAAGCATGCTGGGAGGAAACAGCACAGACCGCACACCCCCTTTACACGAAGTGCCCAGAGCCAGCCAATTACAGAAACACTCGTGTTCACTCAGGGCCGGGCTGAGGGAAGGAGTCAGGGCTGACTGCTGACTGGCACCGGGTTTCCTTTGGGAGAAGGAAAGGGTTCTGGAATTAGGTTGTGGCGGCGGTCCAAACACCTTGTGAATAATACACTGAAAGGAAAAAAACCTCAAATCGAGTTATTTGCTGTGAATTAGAAGACACAGCGCCCCAAGCTGTCTTTAAAGGAAACAGGGAACACGGCGCTTGCTGCCCGGGGGCTGCAGGCAGCACGTCTGTGCTGGAGGCAGTGCTCGGCGTGCGGACTCCCCGCATCTGGGCACCACCTGCGCCAGCTGGGCACCACCCGGCCTGGGGTCTCCTTCCTCACAGGCCTTTCTGCAAGGAAGCCAGTGACTCAGATGAACTTCCATGAGCAGCACCAGCCTGACGCTGGGGCACACCTGCCGGGAAGTCGACAGACTGCACCTAAAACTGGGGGACGAGTCACACAACCTGCGCAGTGTTCAGAAACGTGGGGAACAAGTACAAACAGCGAGAAGATGTGCGCTGGGGAGGGGGCAGCGGCCCAAGCGGAGCGCGGGGAGGGGGCAGAGGCCCGAGAGGAGCGCAGGGAGGGGGCAGCGGCCCGAGCGGAGCGTGGGGAGGGGGCAGCGGCCTGCTGTTTCACACCGAGTTCCGGCAGCACTGTGTTTTCAGCAGTATGCACATGTTACTAAGCTAATCTGACAAATGAAGAAAAAAAGAACATTTTTCAACCTCAAAGATTGTTTAAAATTCTATTTTCCAGGTTAGCCAGAGAGTGATGAAAAGGCCATCATCGTGCCCTGCTGACGGGGGTACGTGGGTCCGGCCTTCCCGAAGGCCACTCGGTAACACTGATCAAGGGCTCTGGCCGCTCAGTCCACACCGAGGAATTCACCCTGATGAAATAATCTCAGACAGAAATTCACATAAGGACGATAACACCTCTATTGCTAAGAAGCCAAAAACAGCGCCGCTGTCCCAGCAGATGGGGAAAAGGGGCGCCTCCCTTCCGCAGAGGAGAACGCCTGCACCACCGCGCCCGGGACCACAGAGACGTCCAGTCCAGCGCTGCTCCCGATACGACGTAAAGTGAAAAGGTGGGCTATGCCCCGTGTGACAACACAACCCTTGTTCTGTAATAAAAAGCCAATGCACAGACACACAAAGCAAAAACGAGAAGGTGACACAGGAAGGTAGGGACATTTTAAGGGGGTAGAATTAAGGATTTTTTATCCTTTATACTTTACAGTAATTTCTACAATAAAAGGAAAAACCTTCAAGATATCAGCTCAGAAGTGTTCAGTGACACCAACAAACAGCCCCGGCAGCCGAGCAGGTGATGCCCCAGGGCGGACAGCAGAGGAAGCCAGCGGCCAGGCAGGCCACGGCCACTGAGGGCAAGTCAGCACCGACAGGCTGGGAACAAGCTCCAGGGACCTGAGAGAAGTCAGGCAGCCTTTAGGGGAAAAAACTTCTTTAAAATCTGGAAACGCCACCCGCAGGCCCTGATGTCCCCTCTCATCGGCGGGCCCCCTGAAGGGTCTGCGCCCTCCCCAGCCACAGTCCTCCAGGAGCCGGCCTGGAAGTCAGGCCTGGAAGCCCAGCTCCTGCGCCCTGGACGGCGGCTGTGCTCCTGCCCACTCAACCCAGGACCAGCCCAAGTCCTCGCCTACCCAGTCAGTAGCCTGGCCTCTGGCACCCGCTACCTGACCCTACTTCCTGCCTCCCGTGGGCAAACTCCAAGCCCTGGGACCCCAGGCATCCCACCCAACAAGCCCGCCTCCCACCTTTCCAGCTCAACCCCACTGGGTGCCCTCACCTTCACCAGGACCTGCAATCCACAGATCCACACGGCTCAGTGCCCTCACCCCTCCTCCCACCCACGTTCCCACTCCACAGCGTAATCCATCAGTGTAATCAGTACAACCTCACTTCTACACACTCTCAGCTTCCTTCCTGCACAATCCCAACTCCAGGACCTGCTCCTGCCTGACCAGAAAGCCCTCGAGACCAGGCTGGCTGGTCTTACTTCAAAGCCCCCAGCTGCAAGGGGTCTCCAGCACTGCCCAGCGACGCCCCACTTCCCGGCTCCAGCCACCCACCCAGATGACCAGTTCACTTCTCTCACTTCTTTGATATTTTTGTTAGTGAATCAACTATACTTCAATTAAAAAAACAACGCTGTGTTAGTTTCTGGTGTACAACAGAGTGATACAGTTACACACATTTTTTCATATGGTTTCTCACTAAGGTTTGTTACAAGACATTGAATACAGTTCCCTGTACTATACAGTAAGGCCTCATTTACTTTATATACAGTAGTTTGCATCTGTTAATCCCAAACTCCTAAATTTTTTCCACCCTTCCCCTTTCCCCTTTGGTAACCGTAAGGTGGTTCTCTATGTCTGTGAATCTGTCTCTGTTTTGTGGTTAAGTTCATTTGTATATTTTAGCCTCCACATAAGTGATATTTGTCCCTCTGTCTGACTTCACTTGGTGGGACCATCTCTAGGTCCACCCATTGTCTCACCTCTCAATGTCTCAAACCCCCAACACACCCGCCCCCTCTGTTCTCGGCAAAGGACCATCATTCCTGAGCACTGAGTGTCCACGAGCTCCCACGTGGACCCCCTCCCGTCCTTCCCTCCTGCTACGAAGGAAGACCCTTTCTTTCCCTTGCTCTGACTCCCAGGGCTTCACTCTAAGCACGCTCCCTGCCCCTCCCCCGGCATCAACTGTCCTTCCTGCCACAGAATCCACGAGCACCCACACGGAGAAGCCCTGACTCCACACGCTCTGCTCCCCATTTCTGGTGCCTTCTGAGGCAAAACTCGAGAGCTGCCCACGCGCACCGCCTCTAACTCCTTTCTGGCCGCTCCCCATGCTCCCCTCCAGCAGGCTTCCACCTGACTCCACGAGAACTGCTGTCATCAGCCTTCCCAGCGACACCTCTGTGCTCATGAGAGATCCTCTCCCAGCTGAACTCCAGCCGGGCTCCTCCAAGCCTTCTCTCCACGAGGCCTCAACCTGGGCCCATCAAGACTGAAACAAAACCGTATCTAACAGCTCAAGGCCGCATCTTTATGATGAACTTAGCTCCCCTAGAAAGTGCCTGTCTGAGAACATTCAAGGCTTCGTGAAGACAGGGCCCTGCCCCGCAGCCTCTGTGACGGCTGGTAACTTTCCCAAGCACCCACCTTCACCAGCCTCTCTTCTTGCAGACTCCTCTAATCTCTTTCCTGACTCTGCTGAGGGCCTGGCCCTCCCTGTTCCCTCACTCTCCCTTTAAAACTCCGTTGTCATCTCCTCCGTGCAAGCCCAAGGTGAGCTAATTCATGCTGACGTCTCCCTCCCTGTCGACTAAAATCCAGCCTTTCCATTTACACCAAGTATGGTCTGGCTTTGCTGATCTTTGACTAAACCTGGTGGCGGACTCAGTACTCACTCGCTGTGCAGGAGAGCAGCCTCCGACAACTTGCCTCCCCTCTCCACAGCTCTGCCCTCAGCTGCCCAGACAGACCCACGCTCCTGCTTTTCTCCAACCGCTCCACCTCCCTGACCCCTTTACACCGAAGGGCCCCAGGCCTGGCGCCTGCTTCCTCTCTAGCGACTGTCACTCCCCTGTGATCTCATCTAGTCATGCGGCTTTAAATACCAGCCACATGCATGGCTTCCAGATTCCTCACTGAACATCGCCAACTCAGGTGTGGATCACCTGCACACGCACCATCTCAAAGGTAACATATCCGACCCACCCACACTCCCCACCATCTCACCTTCCTGCACGGCTGTCCCCCCAAACTGGTCGTGTGGTGAAATCCAGGTTTCAGCTCGAGCTAAACACGTGGTGTCACCCACAACTCCTCTTTCTCACACGCCCGCCCGACCCACAGTGGCCGCTGTTGGCCTCATCTCCCTCGTCGCACTCCGAGGGGGGCTACTTTCAGCGCCTCTACTACGAGGCACCCCGGTCCAGGCGCCTCTCACCTGGATTACCCAGAAGCCTCCAGCCGGCCCCTCGCCTGACGCCCTGGCCCCCTA